GAACAAGACGGAAGGCCCATTTGTACCATTGAAACATGAATGCACACAACTTTGGAAAAGGTTTCATAAGATTGGAGCTACACATGTTTCATGCACGTATATGAAATAGTTGTCTGCCCAATCATTTCCTTTTTTCAACTACCATGGTTTTATCTTTCGAATGTGCAACTGTTTTGTTTGATTTTCAACAGCAGCTGTAATTGAGTTTTTACATTAATAGCGTTCAATGCTATGCTATAGTGTGTCTTGTACAAGAGATTTTTTAGTATGACTGATACACTGGATGGTACACCACGTGTCATTATATAAATGGTGAGATATGTGTGCTAAAAAGTTTATAACTTAAAAAATAAAATTTCTCACCACTTCAATTAAAACACGTGGTGTACTACTTGTATTCCTATTACAATGAAAAATTTCTTGTCTTGTACGTTTTTAATCATCCCATTCCAAGCAGAGCTGGTTCAGCAATAACTCTTCAATGTATCAGAATGTTTGTTTGGAAAAAGATGCACAAAGTGTGAGGTCGCTAGGGGAGTTGGTTATATCAAACTTGTGCATACCAGTTTTGATGCGACTCTAAGTTATTGGATTTCTGTTATGACTAATTAGGCCCATTACATGTATTTCCGTTAGGCCTATTACACTTCAAACCCTATTATCTTTATATGTATTTAAATCCTTTTCTGATGTAAAGAAGGTATGAATGAAGAATATTGTTATTTACTTTTCTTAATTTCTCTGCATTTTCCCTTTCTTTCTCTTTCTCCGAAATGGGTTAATGGAATTCTGGTGGGAGTTGTAAGGGAGCAACTCAACCGCTCCAAACTTTGAGCTCTTCTTACTCCAAGAAGAATAGAATTGCAGAAGAGGTCGTAAAGCATATGAAAAATCCTGTGAAATTCTTGAACATAATCGACTTGTCCGAATATTAGCGGCCATCCATCCATATATAGGAAGAAATTCAAGAAAGTCGGAGATTCAAGATTGCAGTCATTCGTATCTTTCTCCATTTGCTGCAGTAACTGAGCCTAAACCGGTTTCTGTTTCATTTAACTTGTGTATAGTTCCTTCGATTATTCAGCAGTTTGTCCACTGTGCTGACTGACTAGCTAGCTTGTAATTTTGGACTCTATCTCGTGCCCAAATGTGTCCATACATTTGCTCTTTTGGTTGATTGAATGAGGAGGAACCAAAGTAAATAGTAGATGGATAATATTGTCTCACAATCGACAATATTATTCCCAATCAGCAACTCACATATCAAATCCTAGCAGATAATTTTTTTTTTTCTGATTTATTTGTGTTTTTATAAAGCTGGGCATTGATCAATCTCAAGACAAACACTTGCGAAATCTCACAGACCTCCTTCCAACTGATTTTTTTTCCTTATTGAAAAACTACATAGTTATAAAGAGGCCGCAATGAGGATGTTTTCCATTACATTATCAACTACATCCTTATGTTTATTAGGTTTAATTTTGAAGGTATTTAAGTCTATTTTAGTGAATTTTCTATTATTTTTGAAAGATTTTATAAAAAATGACATTTATGAAATTGAGTGTTAATTTTTTACTATTATCGATCAAAACTTGCGGGCGAACTCCAATCCTAGTTTTTTCTCAGGGTAATACTAGGGAGACTAAATATTTAAACTAAAATTTGTAAATCAAATGATGTGAATATTAATACTTAGATTATTAATTTAAATGTTGATTAACGTGCTTATTTCCTATTAGTTCACAGTTTTCAATTTACAAATTTAATTTAAAATTTTGTTCTCTGTTACCTTATCATTTTTCTCCCCTTTCTTTGATAAGGGGCTCTGTGCAAGTGATCCGTCTCTCTCCCACCTTTTTTTTTTTTGGAAAACCCCTTTTTCTCTTTTAGTTGTCCTCCCCTCTATTCTCTCTCCCCCTTTTTTTTCTTTTTTCTTTCTTCTGTCGTCCTCCAGTTTTTCCCCTTTTACAGAGGGAATTAACTTGGATGCTAAACAATTCAGCAACCACTCCTGCTTACCCAATCCCGTGTCGACACGCAGGAGGGATTGCTGAATTGTTCAGCAGCCAAGTCTTGTTCTTTATAGAGGGTCATAAGGTCCTGTCTCTCTCTTTAATGTAGATTTTGCTCAAAAAAGGATATTATTACGATCGAGGGTTCTAAGGCCATCTCTCTCTCTCTCTCTCTCTCTCTCTCTCTCTCTCTCTTTTTAATGTAGACTTTGCTAAAAAAAGGATATTATTTGATGAGAATTTTCATTCTTTTCTTGATGAAGTAAATAAGTGGAAATGAAAAAGAAATGTGTTTGTACCATACTTGACCAATCCCGAAACTACTGAGCACCGATCAACGTTATACCGTCAAGGACCCAGAAGAGTTTCCCTCCAACCAGGAGGCAAATCACAGCGCGACACGTGTCGACATCAGAAGCCAATCATAGCGCGACACGTGTCAACATCAGAAGCCAATCACAACACGACACGCGTCAATGTCAGAATGGAACTAGAAACTCTCTTCTATAAATAGAGATCATTCTCTCACAATATTTCCTAATGTCATTTGTACTAAATCATTCACTAATACTCACTAAAGGAGAGCTTGAACCTATGTACTTGTGTAAACCCTTCACAATTAATGAGAACTCTTCTACTCCGTGAACATAGCCAATCTAGGTGAACCACGTACATCTTGTGTTTGCTTTCCTGTCTCTATCCATTTACATACTTATCCACACTAGTGACCGAAGCAATCTAACGAAGGTCACAAACTTAACACTTTCTGTTGTACCAAAATCCCCACTGATTTTGTGCACCAACAAAATGAAAATAAGGGAAAACGACTACTGATAGGAATAGAAAAATATTTTTGACAAAATTAAATTATTAGGGAAAAGTAAAAACAGACTCAATTATTCTAATAATATGGATGGCCACATATTGAAAGGTGAAGAAGAAACAAGTGGTGGATGACAAAACCACCAAATAATCCACTGATATCAAATCATTAACAAAGTGGTGGAGGATGTTGTGGTGAAGCATCAAATATGAAACCAATAACTAATACAGAAATATATGACAAGACAAACAACCTAAAGTGACATAAGGGTTTGTACTGACTCGACGTAAGCCTACGTCTAATTTGGAGACGACCATAATATTTCACTAATAATCAAAATGAAGATTACAAATAGAGTTTTAAACTCTCCCGCATACACTCCGAAGCTCTCACTCAAACAAAAAACAAATGGAGATGATGAAAATACGTACTAAACTCCTTCTGTCCCAAAAACCACAAAAGCAACATCAGTACCTTTGAATGAGTGATTACCAACATAGGGGGATCGCTCTCATTCTTTTCTTCCAATAGAGCTGTTGGCTGCTCTTAAAACAAAAGGCATCAAGCCTTATATAAGGCTGCTGCCAATTAAACCATCAGGCATCAGGAACCCTACCCACTCTTTCACATGGATAATTGAGGCCAAAACAATTTGGGCTGTTGGGCTCACAAAATACAAAGGCCTACTACATGAGCCACAAATCCAACAGTAGATGACAAAACCACTACTAATTCGCTTAAAGCAAATCACTAACAAAGTGGTGGATAACAAAGATGTTTGGTGCAAGGAACGTTGGAGTTTAAGAATGAATACTCATATATGAACTTCAACATACGAACCTTGTTCGACTTTTGGGGTTTGGACCTGTTTATAAGGTAAGGTTTCAAAGCTAGTAACATACTAGATGAAAATAAAATCCCCAAAATTTCTCACTTTGGTATGGCAAGGATTTTCACGCATAACGAATATGTTGTTGGGACATAATAAGTTATAAATAAGAAGTCCATTCTAATCACATCATTCAATTTTGGTTACTAATCATGCATTTATGTATGTATGGTGACCTATCTCCTGAGTATGCCATGGGGGAAAACTTTTCTACAAAATCTGACGTTATAGCTTTGGAGTATTAACACTTGAGATTATCTGGAACGAAAAATAATAGCATCTACAATGATCGCGTGCTCAATATAGTTAGATAGGTATGTCAAATAAAATCCTTCTATGATTAAAATGTTTCCTCTTTGAGGTGAGACTTAGAGAGTCTGATATCCTAAATGAATATAAGGTTATTTCAGGCTTGGGGCTATGGAAAGAAGGTGCACGGCTAAAATTAATGGATCCAATGCTAGGCGATTCATGTACGAAGATCAGTTGATAAGATGCATCAATGTTGGTCTGGTATGCGTGGAAGAAGATGCACCTGATCAGCTCACCATGTCCGATGTCATATGTATGTAGATAAATGAAAGCACGTCGTTACCTGTACCAACAAGGCCAGCATTTTTTACAGGAAGAAAAGAGCTTGAATTGAATACAATATGTGGAAACAAATCAAAAGTTTTATCAGGAAATGGCTTGTCCTATTCTGACATAGTAGGAAGATGAAGGTATAGTACTAACATGTCTGGTGTTCCTCAATATACTCGCTTCCATAGGTGTAAAGATACTTGATCTGGAAAATAAATTTTGATTTGAGACCTTGGGCCTGAGGAAGAAGGTGGCTAACTCACTAAGCTGTTTCCTCAGAGGCACATCAACCGTAATTATCTGATGTTTTATTTTCAATGTAACTTTGTGTTCCTTGTAAAAGTTTGTTACGTTTTTATAATATAATTTCTCCTTTCAGTTTATGCACTCGTATAATTTCTTTTTTCTGTCATATCATCGATATTTCACTTGATATTTCAACCCATGTCAGTATTTATGGTAAATCTATATATATGCCAAAAGGTCCTTAATTAACTACTGTCCCTTGCTGGCTTTAGGAAAAAGGAATGTATGACCTTGTATGGTTAAAGGGTTTGAGTTGTGTGGACATGAAATTATTTTTATAAAATTGTAAGAGGATCGTATGAATTGGCACTACTACCACTGCTGCGTACCCTGATCAGGTAGATTCTTTAAACACATAACATTAGTATCGTTCATCTTGCTTAATCTATTTGTTATTATATATAAATGAACGTTTTACAGGCTTACAGCAGAGAACAGAGAGCACAATGCCAACAGCCATTATAATTGATCTTACCACAGGTAAATTAGAGTCTGGAAAAAGTAATTTTCCAACTAAATGAGTTCCACCATACAAATAAAAGCAAGTAAAAATACAGGCAACTGAAGTAGATTACTGAACGGGTGTGGGGAAGAATCTCGCCAAAGGTTCAATATCTGATTCCTTTCAAAACCGTAAACATAATACTATGTTAATTCATCGTGGGACATCAGTGGAATTGGACAACTCATTTGTGGAAAAAATTTCTGATTTTTTTCCACTCAGACCAGCTTCAACCACATTTCTTCCTGTAAAAAATGCTGGCTTTCCAGGTAATGGCAATGGTGTGCTTTGATTTGTCAACATAGATACGAACATGGTAGGCCGATCAGCTGCAGTTTCTTCCACGCATAGCAGAGTAACGTGAACGCATCTTAACAATTGATCTTTGATACATGAATCGCCTAATGTTGGATCCATTAATTCTAGAACTGTGCCTTCCTTCCATAATTCCCATGCCTGCAACAAACAAATTGTTAGAGTTTTGATTATGATGTTTGTGGTGATTTGTGATGAAAAAAATAAATAAAGGAAAATGGATTTTTAGTCAGGAATTTCAGTAAGCGAAACGTTGCTGCTCTACTGCATTTCATTCATCATCATTCTCCAACATTCTTCTCTGCATATAAGCAGAAGTACAAGGGTAGTCAAGGCTACAGTTGCATTAAGCAATCCTAGCCTTTTATCTGTTCTAATCTAAGCCTTACACGTACCCTACATGACTAAGCCTTTACCTGCTAGCCTTATCAGAGAGTAGCCGTTACAAGAAAAAAAAAAAAAACAAAGTAGCCGTTACAAATTAAACTAAAAGCTAGCCGTTGCCGTTTTGAATTCCATCAAGTCCTGCCTTCGAAACTCGAAGGGTGAAACAACTTACATATTTCATCACAAAGTGCCAATTCCAATTCCTACACATTAAGAAAAAGGAAACGCTGTGGTCCTAATTTGTTGCCATGCAGCGTGAGCTAGCTGATTCAAAAACAACTCTGCAGTTTATATTAGTTTAACCTTAAAAGTAGAAAAAGATACACAAATGTGATCATGAGGAATATATTCACCAGTAGCAACCAAATTCAAACATGGTGTTCAATTTTCCCGGATTTTCTCGCAACTCAAATGGAGGATAAGAAAAGGGGAGTTAGGGGCACAGGATTAACTCACGAGCTGTCTGTCAATATAGGGCTCTGTACAGGTGACCCGTCTCTCTCCCCCTATTTCTCTTTTGGCTGTTCTCCCTTCTTTCTTTCCCCCTCTTTTTTCTCTTTTCTGTTCTTGTTTCCTTATTCCTCCAGTTTTTATCCGTTCCTTCTAGCATCCTAGCCCTCTCTTTCTCTGTTTTTTAATGTAGACAGATCAAGTTTCTTAGCTCAAAAAAGGATAACGTTGACGAGAATTTTCATTCATTTCTTGGTAAAGTAAATAAATGGAAAAGAAAAGGATAGAAAAAAAAAAGAGAAAACTAGGTGCACGCGACTACCGAGATCAATAGAAAAATATGTTTGACAAAATGAAACCATTGGAAAAAAAAAATCGTCAATTGTTGGAGAGATTATTTAGTGTGATTGCAACACGGAGTGATACACCACGTATCACTATATAATTGGTAGGATATGTGTGTTAAAAAGTTAACAATTTAAAAAATAAAATTTCTCACCACTTACATAAAAACACCTAGTCACAATGAAAAATTTCTCCAATTGTTGTAATAATATGGATGCCCACACGTTGAAAGGAGAAGAAGAAACAAGCGGTTGATGACAAAACCACCAATAATTCACTTACAACAAATCACTAGCAAAGTGGTGGATTACAAGGTCACCAACTATTCACCTACAACAATTCACTAACAAAGTGGTGGATGACAAAAATGTTTGGTGCAAGGAACATTGGAGTTTAAGAATGAAGTGAAACTCATATCTGAACTTCAACATACGAACCTTGTTCAACTTTTGGGGCTTTGCATTCTGGTGTACATTAGAAGCTAGTATGCCAAACAGAAGTCTAAACTGCGTTTTATTTGTTTGGGAATTGATGCTATCACTGTAATCTGATATTGAAAAATGCATTATCTTACTCTCTCTATGTATTGTTCAGATTCAGAGAGAAGCAGTATACTAGATTGGAAGAAGCGTTTCAATATAATTGCCGGAAATGCTCTGGTATTGCTTTACACAAATATTCAAGATTGAAGGTTATTCATAGAGATCTTAAAACTAGTAAGATGGAAATATGAACCTCATAATTTCTGACTTTGGTATGGTAAGGATTTTCACGCATTATGAACTCGAAGGAAGCACAAATAGGATAGATGGGACATAGTAAGTTATAAATAAGAAGTGCATTCTTATCTCATCATTCACTTTTGGTCACTAATATGTATGTCACTAAATCGTAGCTATAATGCAGAGACTACATGTCTATATACCATGGCATGTCCAATACAGACTAACAAAATCTGACATATGTAGCTTCGAGTTTATATTTGCAGAGATTAATAATGTCCATCTTAGTGGAACCAATTGGGGGGAAAATAGATCTAAATCAATGTCTCCATTAATGACCGCAGTTTAATTGATATAGTCTGGAAGGAAAATATAATAAATTCCAATTCACCATGTATGCTCAAAGTAGTCATAAAAATGTAATCTTTCTTATGATTAAAATGTTGAGATTTTTGAGTGAGATTTAGAGAATCTGATATCCTAAATGATTAAAATGTTTCCTCTTTAAAATTAATTGATCCAATGCAAGACAATTCATGTACTTCAGATCAGTTCATAAGATGCATCAATGTTGGTCTGCTATGCATGGAAGAAGATGCAACTGATCGGCCCACCACGTCCGATGTCATATCTATGTTGCCAATTGAAAGTATGCCATTACCTGTACCAACAAGGCCAACATTTTTTACAAGAAGATAAGTGGTTGAATCGAATATCAGAATTATCGGCAATTATCAGCATTTTCTTGGAGGTTTCTGTGAATGGATTAGTCATCGCAATTTTTTTTTTGTAGAATTATCACTAATTATTATTGGTGTAGAGTTTGCATATCAACAGGGTTGACATTGTCTTTGGTTGGAAAGTGACAGTTTTAGTGTTATTTATGCTCTTCGACTGTCTAATTTTGATCCTTCTTAGCATCTTCGTACGCAATGGTCTATATGTTTAGATTGCATTTGGAAAATGACTTTCTACGCATCTCACATATATTACTAAGGAAATCTTGTTGCGGACAATTTTGCTAATTTGGGCTAGTTTTCTCCATCTTTATTATGACATGATTTTCCTCTGCCAGCGGCTCATACTGTTTTGTTTTCAGACTATGTTGGCTTGCCTAACTACCGCTTCACAAATTAATGTGCATCTCGGCATCCAAGTTTGTTTCACTTGCTTTTTTTTCCCTAACTTTATGGTGATGTTCAACTTGTTTTTCAGGTTTAGACCTTTAGGTTTGGTTTTAGAAGGGTTAGGTTTCATGTTCTCCCCTTTTCTGGAAAAGGATCTGGCGATGATCCTTTTCCTAGGGATCCTGTGATCTCATCCATTCATCGTACATCATGCGGTCAGAAATCATTTCAAAATTTAAAATTTAAAATTAAATATGAATAATACCTAACGACAACTAATCGTACGATATACGATGAACGGGTGAGATCCCGAGATCCCTAGGAAAAGGATCCGGCCCTTTTCTTTGTATCATCCTTGTTTTTTTTTTTTTTTTTTAGAAGGGAAGGGAAAGGTTTATGTCCCCCTTCTTTTTCGTATATTCTTTTTTGTTGTCTCTGTTTTATGAGAGATAAAGTTTATATCCCTCTAACTAGGTGTAACTTATTTTCTCGTTATCAATAAAATCTCTCGTATCATCAAGGTTTCTCAAAAAAAAAATAAAAATAAATAAATTGAATATAATAAGTGGAAATGAAACACTGTAGGAGGAAGGAGAGACCTAGAAGTAAGAGTCATAATTGTAGACATCGAAATTGCGGTGAAATAAATGTTCACCAACGCATTAAAATTTTGACGTGTCAAGGCATACATGGCATATGCCACGTGTCATACAAATTGTACACATGGTGTGTGACTCAACAAATAAAAAGACTCAACAAAATAAAAAGAAATACCCTTGGAGGATTACATAAGTTTTTCTTCTCATTTTGGGCAATGACAAGGCAAGCATATTTCAATCCATTGAAGATCAAAACAAGGTTTTCTTCTCATTTTGGGCAATGACAAAGCGTGCACATATCAAGTTTAAAATGATATTGAGTGGAAAATTAGGCCATAAAATTACCACTTCAAGTTTAAAATTGTATTAAGTGGGAAATTAGGCAATGGTGCTTGGAAAAGAAAAAAATATTTTGTGGTGGTGATTCATTCTCAAAGCCTATAAATAGGCTTCTACATCAAGGTATCATGAACCAATTCACAAATACATTTCTCTACTCCCAAAATGGAAGAGAATACTCCCCACACATCCAAAATCCTTGAAGCTTTGAAACTCTAAAGCTTTCAAGCATCCAACCTCCCAAATTCCAGCAAATCCCGAAGGATCAAGAAAGCCCTCTTCGTTCTTCGTCAAATCCTCCTTCAAGATCAAGCCCTAACGGCCCTTGAAGAACTTCCACCAATTCAAGATCAAGCCTCGACGGCCCTTGAAGAAAGTGTTCAACAAATCCACACAACTGTTCATCCTAAGATCAAGCCCCAACGGCCCTTTGGATCAACAACATCAATAAATCCACATAACTGTTCATCCTAAGATCAAGCCCCAACGGCCCTTTGGATCAACAACATCAACAAATCCACACAATTGTTCATCCTAAGATCAAGCCCCAACGGCCCTTTGGATCAAGAACATCAACAAATCCACACAACTGTTCATCAAAAGATCAAGCCCCGACGACCCTTTTGGATCAACAACATCACCAAATCCACATAACTGTTCATCAAAAGATCAAGCCCCAACGGCCCTTTGGATCAACAACATCAACAAATCCACACAACTGTTCATCCTAAGATCAAGCCCCAACGGCCCTTTGGATCAACAACATCAATAAATCCACACAACTGTTCTTTCAAGATCAAGCCCCGACGGCCCTTGAAGAAAGTGTTCTTCGTTCTTCGTTCATCGTTCTTCCAAGATCAAGCCCCAACGGCCCTTTGGATCAACAATCATCCACCAATTCAAGATCAAGCCCCGACGGCCCTTGAATAAAGTGTTCTTCGTTCTTCGTTCATCGTTCTTCCAAGATCAAGCCCCGACGACCCTTGGATCAACAAGCCACCGTTCTTCAAGATCAAGCCCAAAAGCCCTTGAAGATCCGTTCATCACTGTTCTTCAAGATCAAGCCCAAAAGCCCTTGAAGATCCGCTCATCACCGTTATTCAAGATCAAGCCTCAACGGCCCTTGAAGAAACACTCATCCGCAAGATCAAGCCCCAACGGCTCCTTGAAGA